CATACAAAATGTGCAGGGCTGGGGGTACTCCAGGACAGGTTTGAGAACCACTGGCCAGACATCACATATGATACAAAACAATAAACTTTTTAATTATTGTTATTTTTTATTATTATTAATTTTTATTAACGAAGCTTATGAAGATTATGGTAAGGGAAGTTACATTTCCGAGCGTGCTTGTGGTGTTCGGCCAATCACAATGCACTGGGTCAGCTGACCAATCAGAGCAGACTGCGCTTGTCAAAGGAGGGGGCTTTGTTGAAAACGACGTGTTTGAGAGAGGCGGGGCATAGGGGACCTACAATAATGTACAGTATTTGAAAAATAATGTGTTTTTTGAACATTAAAGCATGTCAACATATTCTGTTACACCAAATACACAAAATAATGATCTTTAAAATAGCATCATATGAACCCTTTAAACTTTTTTATTGTTATTACTGAAGTGAAAGTTCAATAATAAAGTTCCACTGGAAAAATAAAAAATCTGACAATTATTTTATGTCAGGCTTTACTTGGTTAACTGAGTATTTGCATTGATTTATTTCTTATGTCAAATATAGCCTGTTACTGACCCCAGTTCTGTAGCCTCCTCCCTGACAATTGTGTCCACTTGGGCTTGGGAGCTCTGCATACCTTACAAAAGAGACACAGGGCAGTGTGTATAAAGCACTGCTGACACGTTATCTAGGTACATAGTAGCATTACAAGCAATCCGGGCCAGATAAAAGTCCTACCTGCTGCAACAAATACTCCTCCTCGGCCTCCGTTATAAAATTTGGAACATAATAAATAGTTGGAGGAGCCTAAGTACAAAACATTCCATTAAAACAATAACATGCGTTCATTCAAAAATACAAATGACAAATCTCAACGCTTACCTCCTTCACAATGTACTTATTCAGGTCAGCAGCAATGTTACATGGATTTGCCATCGTTGTCATGTACATAATAACCATCACAGATTAATTGACTATTAAAGAAACTGACTGTCATGACACCCACGAGTATCTAAGGAAGTATTCTACGTCTAAAACTTAATATGACAACCATAAAAAAAAGTCCTTCATTAATGTTTACAGTCGCATCGAAGTTTTAAATCACTGAACTGTTGCTGAACGAGCAGGATTGCTCGTTGATACGTTTGTTATCATGAAGTGGTTTCCTCGTGCACCCTGGTGAAACGTATGATTCAACGTCGCCGTCTACAGGTTTGGAGCGGTAGTGCACATTTACAGAGGGCGCTGTGACCATTGTAATGAATCGTCAGGAATGTACGCATATAGCATAATTTGTAACAACAGCAGACCATGATGTGCTAAAGTGATGTGCTTAAAGTGATAACAGGATCATAAAACACCTGCGTTAATGGTTATATAGGGACTACCTTTCTCCCCCATTCCAGCTGAAATACCCCCTCCTTCTTTATCTCTTTTTTCTCTTTCCTGTCTTTTTCTTCCAACTCCCAATTTGAGCCTGCAGCGCTGCAGCTCTGGTTTCCATGGTAACGCAGAGCAAGAGCCACATCTTGAATCAGCCATGGTTTCCTTCATTAATAGTTATTGATCAAGTGTGATAATGCTAACAACATCAACTCAGGAGCACAGTGTGGGACTGCATATGCCTTCATCGCTCTTGACCACTGGAAGCAGAGAAAGAAACAGACCAGTAAATGTTGACACTGGCCACTGCAGTGTGTGTTGCATAAACTGAGCGAGACCAACAACTGTGAAACACATCATAAAAATGTGGAGCATAATAAACAACATGTACTTTTTAATGTATATTTAATGTATAACCCTGCAAAAAAAAACACAGTGATTTGATGTTTCAACTGCTTGTGTTGCCAGATATGTTGCTCAGTGCTTCATGCATCATTAGAAATGCTTACAGTGTACGACTCGTCTGATACTATGAATCATTCTGACAAAGCAGCATGAGTGAGTGCTGTAATATGTATTTACCTGGTTGTAGTGTTGCGGTTTTTGGGTTGCCAAGAAATAGTGATGAAATCGTGACAGGAATACGCCTGTGTTCTGACACACTCTGCTCAAAGCCATGCTCCACACAAACTTGTCGCCTTGACAACATGATTTAATGATGAGATCCTCCCCTACAACTATCTTTGAAAAACAGACACCGCTACAGGAGAAAGCAGCAAACAGTAATCTCACAGATTACTTCAGTACATGCTTCTCCTATGATTAGACGAGACACTATTCTGCCATTTCAAAAGGGGAAGGCTGGATTGAATTGCGCACAAAAGGGCAGACTCAGTTTTCATGCAATTCTGACGACCTCGAATGTCAACGAAGGTGACATATAGCCAGGGCTGTACGTTAACTTTTTTTTTCACATAGCACTGGTGCTACAGAGGTTGAAAGTTTTGTAGCACAGGCCAAAAAGTTGTAGCACACGTATAAAACGTCTGTTATCATGTCTGAAAACAAACACAAGTAATGGAGTTCATCACTTAAACAGGCACTAATGTTCCATACAGAGCACAAAAAATACAAACCATCACAAAAATTGTTTTTGACAAAGTTTTCTTAATTTGCTAAAAATGGAAGAGTGCAGAAACATAACACCTCTTACACCTTAACAAAATATAAAATAAAAAACAATGGCAGACATTTAGGCAAAGTTAGCAAAGATAAAAATCTGTGTCATTATTTTATCTTTGTTATTAGAAAATAAGATCATTTTTCAGTATTTACAACATTTTATTTTTCAGGTACAGTATTTATCAGTAGCATTCAAGAAATTGAATGAACAAATATTAAAATAAAACACTATATACATCAATTATACTTTTTTTAAAGTTTTTTTTTAAAGCAACTGACTGATGACAAGTTCATCAGTCAAGAGCAGTGAGGGATTTTTTTTCTGTGTTTTGTTGTTTTACTAACAAAAGATCATCTGTCTTTCAATAGCGTTTCATTTTTATACCATAATTTACTCAAGTTGTTTTAAACCTGAATTAATTTATTTCGTCTGTTGAACATAAAAGTTTTTAGACATAACCAACTGTGTTTATATGTAAACCTTGTGTGTTTTTGACAGTATTAGACGCGAAATCAATCAGACGCGAAAGACAACTTAGTGCAATAATCAGGCGCTTTTTGACAGGCTCTCTGTGTGAGCGCGCTTCTTGAGTATGCGCTCAGAAAAAAGCGCATGCAGAACAGCACGTGAATTAAACGTTTAACCGGTATTGCTTTAAAGCAGATGGAAATAATGTAGTTTTGTGATTGCGCATAAGTGCAGTGTCCCGTGAGAGTAACTCTACCGCTGAGCTAACACTGATGTGAATGCATGTGGCTTTGTACATTATATTGAGACGGAGGGAGGCGCCAGAACTGCAGCTGATAGAATGTGCGCTGTAGCAGATACAACGATATTTCTTCAAAAGCAGATCGTGGAGACATTCAAAAATCGTCATATCGCACACCCCTAACTACCAAGTATAATCAATCTCACACACACAAACAAGCACAACGAAATCACTTCACACTATTAAGCGGCTGTGTTATGAACATGAAAAATTGTATCTCACCCGTGCTACAGTGGTAAATTTATTCATCGCACAGACCAGTTTTTTTTGCAGCACGTGCGACATATATGTCGCACTGTACAGCCCTGCATATAGCATCACATTTGTAACCAAAAATCACCAAAAAAAAAAGATGAAACTAAAGCTGCAAATTAGTGTAATGTTTTAATTATTAATTAGCCTATCTGTTATTATTGTGGTCTTATGAACTGTGCTTTACATGTTTAACTGATGCTGCATAAATAATATATGATTCACAAAATCTAGTGCTAAAAAGGAGATTTGAAGATGCTGTAATGCTGCACTGAGGTTGCTGCTACCACGTAGTCACTTGATATCCTAGTGTGTCTAATGAAGTAGTGTGTTGTGAAATAGTGTGACATGTTCAGTATTGCCTGAGAAATTATTTATTAATGTTTTCTACTGCTAATAATCATGTCTTATCTATATGCAGTGCTGCCAATACTGGACCATCTTGTGTCTGTGCAAGCATATAAAATGTAGGACAGTAGTGCATTTAAAAGCTTCTACAAAGCATACAGCACAGTGAATGAAGAAAAGAACACGAGGGCGTGGAAAAGTGATCATCCCTATGCCATATTCCCTTCAAAGGCGTCACCCTTCAGAGCTTTGGGGTTGAACATACATTTTAAAATCATCTTGTTTTGATGTGTGCACTGCGAGATTGATAAAGAGAGACAGAAAAAGACTGGATAAGAAATGGATTTGGAATCAACATATATAATGATTATTTGCTGCTGATTCCAGTTTCCAAATAATCTTCACAAAAAAAGGTTTTACAAAGGAGGGAAAAAACAGTATCTTAAAAACACAGATATGCAGAATAAAAAAAACGAACATGCAGAATGAAACTAATTTTTCTCTTAAACTCACACACACACACACACACACACACACACACACAAGCATCTTGACACATAACCAATTAACCGTGTTCCAATACAACAGGTGTTGAAATATAAACAAGTTTAAAAATTAATGTCTGTGAAACATTATACTCTCTAGTAGGCCCTTTTTCTGTCACAGATAGCAGATGCCTGATTTATCGGTTGAGTAAGACATGCTTTTAATGAGGTGCTATGTGCAGAGAAAAGATGTACTTGTCTCCTGTGGGACCTGTGAAGTCATTGTGACCTGTACTAAACAAGACATGGTAAAATAACACATTGGCATATGTGAGTTTGAGCCCTCACACTCTGGCATTAGACAACCAACCCGTTATGTTCATTTTGTCTGCATTGTGGACATTTCTGTGTCAAGAAAAGGCTTGAGTTAACAGTGCATTTCAGTGCATCACAAAACACATGCTGCTGTAAGACCGAATGAATCCAAATGCAAAAGTATTAATGAAAGAAGTCTGGATTCCTGAAGTTCTAAAGGACTGGAATCACTGGGATCCTTAACTAGATATCTTCATGATAAAAGAACCTACCCCGCCACCCAGC